CGTCAGAAAATATCGCCATTGGAATGCTCCGCGCACCGAACGCGCAGCCTCCGAGACCCAAAATGGAGTCCGGGCATCGAGACTTATGCTGAGAAAAAATTGTTGTAGAAGCACTCGGTGGCGAACCTGTTTTTTGCCGATTCTTGACCACTGTGCGCCGTTTACAAAGGGGGGAGGGGTGACATTGACTTTCCGCCTCCCCGTCTCGCGATCGATCTCGAGAAAAATAGAAAGCACTTCGTTTTCTCATACACCTGATACCCGATTCCCTCAAAGTTCGATTCAACTATTTCATCGAGCAACGGCGGGATTCTGTTGCTCTGGATAAGTCAACTTTTTATCACGATTACTTCGCATAATAAGCTGTTTTTTCCGGGCGTTGTCGTAGTTTCGTTCAGGTTCGAAACTCTCTTGGAAACCCGATTTCAATACCCCATTCGAAGGCGGTGTAGAGAAATTCCTCTAGATCTTGATGGCTTCAGCTTCTCCCTGAATGAGGTGAATCAACGGTCACGTTAAGAGCATCGTGTGACACCGCAGTTCCGTCTGGAGCGTCGGCGACGGCGACCCATCCGAGATTTCTCTCTCTGGGGCCGGTCGCCGCTCTATCATTTGCAGAACCAGATCTGCGACTCACACACTGGAAGAAGCAAGAGGGAGCGATGGTGCATACATTAATAGGAAAGAGCGCAGCGGTGAGTTTGAAAGACGGGATTTGATAGTATATCCCGTATATATATGTATGTGGAAATTCCGACGGTAATTGGCGAGACCTACATTGATTCGCCCACGAGAGTCTCGCCGCACTGACAAGTAGAGCCTGTACTGAATAAATCAGTTATTTATGCGGTTTTCTACACCTCTTCATGAGGGGTCAGATTCGAGCTTATCTTGCAGAACGTATACTCCAGAATCTGGTGGGGAATATACACAGCTGTTCTCCCGTAAATTTCCATTCTACCAGCGAAAACCTCATTATAATTGGTGTCGTATTCGCAGAGTTATTAGATGTCAAAAATGGACAAGATTTCGTTACACGAAGGCGAAGTTTAGTTGGAAACCCTCAGTTTCAAAGCGTTTCACTTCAAAATATGTCATCGGAACGGTTGAGCGATCGTGGTACGCTTCCGCATCAATATCAATATCGCCATATCTGGAGAGAAGATTGCTCGCAAGGCATTCGGAAGGCCGACTGGCGTCGTATAGCAGCGAAAAATCCTTCAGCAGTAGTGTCTCGGAAACATTTCTCCATGATACGAAAGATTCCTGATGTAACAACTAGTCTCTGAACTCTTCCGCATGACGCCCCAGTGAGTCGAGGGTCTATCAACGGGTCCTGCCCAGCAGTCGCTCGAGCGCTATGAGGCATCGGAGTTGAGGCTTCGCTTCGTCCAAGGTGTCAAGATCTTATATCGAAGGAAATGGCGTGGTGCCCATGTATACAGGTTGAGTTGCATGATCAATATTTTCAATGACTCCCTTTACTTCCCGGTACCTCACAGCAATATCCCAGTAGTCATCTGCGTCGTCCGCTGGGAGCACAAGGGAGACCATTGCACCCGGGAGCTCGTACGCGTCGGCGATCCTATCGGGAATATATTACTTGTGATTCATGAGGTAATTCGCCGCATCTTCGCAGCTCTCGAAGATGCCATGTGGACAGCATCGTCATCGTATAATTTCTGAGCCGCATGATCAGCTCCGTGTCGGAGAAGTAATGGAACATCGGAGTATCCCCCCCAAGAACATTGCTGGCGTCCCCCGAAAAAAAATCATAGATACGCCCTCGAAGGCTCCATGCCTTCGATACGAGTGCTCGATTCGACTTCAATCTACAACGCATGCGGATTCCGCGCACTGACCGGGTCCCTTCTGCAGGCGCTGGCGCCGTCACGGTTTGTTCGGACCGAATTCTACAGCTGCGAGCGGAAAACTTAGAGGATTGAGTGGAGACAAAGCGTATGCGAGCGTTCCATATAGCGATCTCTATCCTAGATTCTAGTCCTTCATATCGCCCCCATTCTGCTACTGGTCTCGTATACGTAAGAACCATCTCTTGTTTTGCGTCCGCGCTTCTTAAACCAACTTGGAACTTGAATACGATGTGTTTCGAGAGAGTGATACATATGGAACAAAAACGCTGGCCCAGACTTGCCATAGACTTGACCAAAGCTAGGGTAACGGGTAACGCAGTGGAGAGACTTAAAAAACTGAGAATGCAGTTCGGCCTGGAGCAACTCGAGCTCCCGAATAGTACATCCGGACAAGAAATGTGGAACGTATTTCGCAAAGAGCTCAAAGCAAGGGTGCGGAAAAAAGTGGATGACTTATGGCGATAGAACATGGTCACGAGAACTACATTGCGTATATATCGACACTCTAAGGACAAAAGGGGTCTTGAGAGGAATATATAAGACAACACGCGAGGCAGCCGACTCTTTGCGCTTGCAAAGGCAGGAATGCTCAATACCAGGAGTCGACAACATGCCCGAGACCCTTCGATCGACGAAAGCTGCCCCAAATGCGGAGCTCCAGAGACAGACACCCACATCGTTCTGGAATGCGAGGAAGGAAGATTCGACCCACAAGAATATTCGTACCGACTTGGACTTCACCCTGGTACTACCGCGAATGATCTTAGGAGGACGAAAAATATCTTGAGGAAGTGGGCGGATGAATGATCTGTGAATGCAAAAAAATTCACCCCTGAAATGAAAGGGACCATTTATATGTGCATATGGAAGATCGAAATAAAATCAATCAATACCACGAAACTAACTTGAGTCCCAGACTGGTTTGGTAGATTGAACTCCGACTCCGGATCCTTGGGTTCCACATCCCGAGCATCCTCAGAGTTGGTTCTTGTGAGTGCTCTGGCCTTGCCCACATGCTCTGTGGATGGACCTCCAACAATGCCTAGGTTCCTTACCCCAAGCATTCTCGCAGCTCCTCTTTGAAAGGACTCTGGCCATGGCTAGATGATTCATGGAGAGAACTCCGACCGTTCTCGGGTTCCTCATCCCGAGCATTCTCGGGGCATTATTGTGAGAGCTCTGGCAATGGCGAAGGTAATGTGCTTTTTAGTAAGGACCCCGGCAATCCTTGGTTTCCTCATCCCGAGCATTATCAGTGTTCGTTCTTGTGATGACCCTTGCAAGGATGGGACTCCGACAATACTCGTGCTCCTTATCCCGAGCATTCTCGGATCATTAATGTGGGAGCTCTGGCCATGGCGATGGCTATGTGCTTCGCGCGACGGACTCCGACAATCCTCGGCCACCTCATCCCGAGAGTTCTCGGTCTTGGCTCTCATAAGATCTCTGTAGATAGGGCTCCGATGATGCTCGGAAGCCTTATTCCGAGCGTTCTCGGAGTAGGTTCTTGTAAGTGCTCTGAGAGGAGGACTCCGTCAATTTTCGGGTCTCCTACTCCGAGGATTCTCGGATTTGGTTCACGAAAGGCATCTGTGAACTGTGGATAGAACTCCGACACCTCTCGGAATTTCGAAAAGCGCACCGGACTGCTATCAGCGCCACTCGCCAATATGGCTGCCCCTCTTGGTGGAGCAAACCGAGCCGTCCGGCGGAATCAGCAGTGGGGAGTTGTTGCCGCTGTTTTTGGGAGAGAGCATTCGAGACACCACTGAATGAAAGCTAGCAGACAGCCCCGCACCGCTGTGGCTGTGTGTGTGCAGATTGAGCGAAGAAAAACAAAAGCTTGTCGAGGAACGGGTCTTGTTTTTCGCAAGAGAACAAACCCAACGTCTAGATGCTGGATTCTCGGATTGGGATCGTTTGTTCGGGTATCCTTGAGTTCATTATGTGAGGAGCTCGATCGATGCACAGAACTTGAGCAGACCAGGACGCTAGTGGACCGTTTCGTTTGAATCATGCAGCAGATAATGTGTCTCCAGAAGTCCAGTTGAGACCGTCTGACACTCGAATACTCGGAAGCCGCCGCAGGTTGATCATGGGGTGTTGCTGCTGCACCTCCAGAGGCTTCATGATAGGAGTTTGTGTTCTTCAATTGGTGAGTTTCCTCGAATAGCTGCATCTCCTCAATGAGAGGAGAATCCGAGTCGAGGATTCTGTCTACTACGGGGAAGCACCGTAGCTCGTACTCTGTATGTGAGCCGTGGTGGGTTCCAACAGCTGGCTTGTCCCGATTCCAAATGACAATGACAGGAACGCGAGATCCCTCTTTTCTCCCCATCGATCACTCCAGTGTTTGTCCTTGTCGCGATGGTGGCGACCGAAGTGGGCAGTGGGGCAAAGACGAATGAGCGAAACTCCGCTCACGGAACCTCTGCCTCCCTGAATGCTCATCTCCATCAAATTCACGGTGTATCCCCTCCTTACGGATCGTTCGGTGCGAGGAACCTAAGGCATGAGATGCCTAAGGCTCCTGCACGGAATCAGCCACCCGTCCGCAGATGTCGAGGATGGCGGAGCTTGTCCTACAGCGATCTCACGTAGGGAGCGAAGCGCCTCATGCGTCAGACGAATTTCAACCATGGCCCGGTCGAGTCGATGATCGATATTCTACCAGACAAAGAATCGTCTGGGGTCCAATATCGGAACATGCTCTTGCGGGACAAGCGACTCTATTCTGAACGACTCAGAGAGCAATTCGCTCTCCCGTTCGCTTCAGGTTCAAGGCTGGGAGTCAGAATCTGTCCTCTAATAGTGAGCCAAGATGATAGCTTTGATATATAAGGAACGTACTTTTCCAGTCATTCACAGCATGTCGCCAATTATTCGATTTACTTGGATACATGTGGGCCCCGATACTGGCGAATTTCTTCAACTTCTTATTCGTGATCTTCGGTTTGTTCGGAGTTTATCAATATAGACCCCGTTACGTAAGCACTGTAAGTACATCCCGAGTCTCGACACCTGAGGAGAACATCTGGTATTCCGGTTGTGCATCAATGCTACAATCTCGGTTTCCGAAGCTTCTGACATGGCTTCGAATTGCAGTATGTCTTGTGGACCGTGATCTGGATCATCTGGAACGCGTTCTGTATTTGCTTCTACCTCGAAATCGGGATACTAAATCGGGTACGTATGGATATGTCTGACGGTCACACTCTGAGGATCGAGTGTTCCCTATACGACTGTGAACTAAGTCGAGTGCTTTCCCGATCCGAACAGGAACTCAACTATCTGAATCTTGGAACTGGATCCCGATCCTGGTTCGAGATCAATGGTTTGGGATGCAAGGCTATGTTCGAACCTCACACCCCAGACGAGCTAGCCGGATTCACTAAGCCAGCGTCGGTGGACGGTTGTCTGGTGGAATATTATTACGTCGAAAGCACACAGGCTGCGATACAGGTATCTCGACACTTTTCCCACCGAAACACCGGAGTTCGAACGACGGCATCGAAGGAATCCAATAACCGTGATAATCGATCGTCATGATCGAGCATCGATAACTCGTTGCTGTTCCAGGTGATCTTGGGTTTGCTCGCGCTCTTCGTCGGAACCTTCGTTATTTACAACTACACCCAGGAAGATCCTTCGTGTAAGTTCAATCGATCATTCAATTTCCGAGAACGACTGTGAAAGCCTGCCCTCTCATCGGGGGGCTGAAATGAGAAATACATTGATTGATCGAGAGATTCACCTCTCGGAGCCCGGCTGAAACTCCCTGTGAGAACACTGACGCCAGATATAAGGTCCATGGGAGTAGCTGCCAAGTCAAAAAAAACAATTGAAACAGAACGGTAGTGACCGGCGCAGCCCGACCGGGTCATTGTGATTGTACTTGAAACTAACAGGTTTCGATCCTCCACTAATTATGCTGCTGGATACGCGGATGAAACGATTTCTCGCACGGCCCTCCAGTCGACTTCATCGGCGGCTTCGACTCGTATAACGTGTATATCACGCCTCCTCCAAAAACTCCTCACACGCTGCAGTAAGCGAGTTTGTAATCGCAGATCAGTCGTTCTTGAGAGCGCTCTCATATCATCAATATCATCTTTTCACTGCTCTTAGTGGAACCCGAAGAGCTCCCGAAAGAGGATATTTATTTTTTGGGAGGGGATTTTTTGCGGAATGCCGCTCGCATGCTCTCCCCTGTAGTGATATAGCGGTATTCAACTAGGCTCAAATGGGACCCCGGCTCCATCGCCGTCGAATCAAGCACTACGCTCCAGAAGTATGATTCTCTAGGAAGCGTCGCGGTGTACTGCCTGATGGCCCAGGTTTTGTAATAATTCCGAGGGTGTATGAGAGATGATTTCCAAGAATATCCGAGATCATCGCGCAAATCATGCAACGATAAGCCCCGAGAGTCGCCCTCGGAACTACGCGAAGATTCCGACCGGGGATGTTGAGGTTCCGGGAGACCCGCCCCTACTCGCGGGACCCCGAGCCGCTGGTGCGCTCCACTAGCGGAAAATTTTGAATACCGCTGCTCTTATCGTAGAAGAATGGTATCCTCATCCTCGATCAGCATTGCACTGATGAAGCATATTCTTCTCGGGAACCAATCGAAAGGAAGGAAACCTACTCGATCTAGGTGTTTCTTGCATTTCCCCGTTCTGCTCGTCGATGATCTTTATTTCTGTCTTGTTTGTCTGCTTTGATGTCCGACGATCCTCTCCTTTCTAGAATCGATGCTCTCCGCACGATCGCATCGAGTACAGGAGCCCGCCGCGTGCTCGAGGCCTCTACCGAGACTTTTCCTAAATTGGTCTTTGTGCTTGCAGCCGTGAGAAGAAAGGGACCTTGGGCTCTCGACCCCCTTCATCGATCGACGGCATCCCTTCCGTATAGCATCGAATACCACCACGTGTCCAATCACAGTCAGGCTGGGAGTTTCAATCAACATTCGAAGTTCAACTCTAACTCGATCGGATCGGCGAATAGTTCCCAGAGGAGACGGCGCAGGAGTTTGCGGTCAAATCGATCGTCGCAACGAGCGTCTTACCAGAATCCGGTGACGCGTTTGATCGATCGCTACGTCGACACGTCGTCTCAAGACTCGTATAATCATCTCGCAGAATACCTGAAAACGTCGGCAAACAACAATTTGCACACTCTGGGGAACGGGAGCAACCTTGTATCGGGTGGGCCATTCAATCAGGCCTACGGCAGCAATGTCGGTCCGGGCGGACAGATCAACCAAGCCTACGAGAACAGGTACTCCCCAGATATTGGCGGAAAGTCATGATCGGATCAATATCAGAGATAAGATCGATTCCGCATTCGTTCGACAGCCTAAGAGACCGAATGGTGCTTTCAGATACAGCATAGCGTCCAGTGGAACATACGGAGTCGTGGATAACGTTCCGAGTCCGCCTTACACACCATACAGTGCTCAGGCTCATCCCCAACCACCGCCGAGGAACGTCGAGACCAATATGTAGTCCTTCTGAGTTTCTATGGATTCTGTGGGAAGCCTGAGGTTTACTCCGAGCCGCGGACCCCATGGCGGGAGCCACACCTTGAGCCTGTGGGTTCCGAGAATTGAAATCTGGAGTTGATATGCTCCCCAGCGACTGATGCGAGAACTTTCCACGGAGTTATCGGAGTGAATTGTAACTTGGAACCTCAATCAAGACGCGCGTGGTGGACCTCGGAAGGCATGAGCTTCGGGGGCGGTTCCTTTGTTGGTATCTTATATAACCTGTTGAATCCGATCGCTGAGAGAAGAATGTTCGGCATAGTCTCCGTATGATTGTGGTTCTGCCCTGATGTGTGGGTGTGTGCAAGCGATTCAGGGCCGCCATTCATTCTCATCGACTTTCTCATCCTCATCTGCCCCATCACATTGATCTATCTCTTAATTCGGTTCGCGTACGAGGCAAAACCCTCAATCGATCTCCGAAGATTTCAATTATTCACTGCCATCCGCAGAAGCAGATCGCTCCTAGTCTAGGAGTGACTTGGAGCTGATAGTCCCCAGCGATTTATGGCGGAAAGGCTCAACTGAACCTTCCGGGATGATTCGCCGGCTATTCTCATGGAATCACAGCATATTCTGCAATATTGTATGGAATTCGAGTCGTCAATGGGTGTTCTGCTTCAGGAACGAGAGGGAAACCCTCATTAGCAATCTTTGAGGGGGTATTTCTCCTGCGAGTAGATGACGCTAGGTGGTATTTTGGTGAGTCGCCGATTCCGTCAGAACTCGTCACTCCCATGCGTGCGGAAAAAGACAGTGTCCCTCGGTTGCTAATCAGCTTATCGCAGGATGTTGTCTGAAATTTTCGATGCTCAACGGCGGCGCATCTTCTATCCGAGAAGGTTTCTCAGATCGACTTACTCTGATCGGACGCAGTCAGGAGATACGAGGCGTGTAACCGAACGATCGATGCGGAGTCCAGCCGGGACTGGCTCCGATGAAATTGTGTAATCTGTAGTTTATATTGCTGTTGACTCCCTCTAGATTCTTGTTTTAGAATCAAAATCCTCGCTCTCGGGAGGGTGCGTAGGACATCGATGGGGGTGTGTAGACAAAACACTTTCGGATGGAGGAACAAACATACACACGAACCAATGAAAGTACGACGACGATACAGATTTCGTTGCAATAACCCAACTCGGGTCACTGCCTCAAGCCAGTGAGAAGGCGGTAGCCACTGCGCTGATCGGCTCGCGATTTTCGAACAAAGCAGAAAAGAGCGTCACCGGCCCAGCTGTTGTGTATATACAAGCATGACTTATACGATAAACATACAAATAGCACCCCGCTCAAACCTTTTAACAGTCTTGTTCTCTGAGAACCTGGGACGACTTGCTATACAAAGGGGGTTTATTTACAAAAGACTCACAGACAATTAGCCGTTGGAAGAGAGAATACTTAGTGGCTAGGTAATACAAATCGCCTCGTACAAATAACTTCTGATCTCAGGATGAATGGAGGAGGGTACGATTAGCAAACGAATCTGAAAACGCCGATGGCATTGGTGATTGAACATGATAGATGCGCGAATGAAGCTGATCGATTGTCAGTTTAAGTTTAACCTGCTCTTATTCTACGATTCAAGGGGGTGCTTCCGATTAGCGATCGCAAATCCGCTTGAGAGCATTACATCTCGTATGCACTTCCGGCTTCGAGGTGATTTAAACTTTCGGGAAGCCGTGGTGCGTCTGGGGAGGGAGACGAGTCATGCCAGGGCTCTTACCTGAGTGAGACTGTCCGATCAGGTACAACATTGGATTGGAATCCCATCATACCCGAAACGAAGGGGAGGGAAGTCTAATCCCCTTGCCAATAATTGTCTGGAGCGGAATCCTAATAGAGCGTTGATTCAGGAGCTGGGATGCCCTGGGGCATTGAGGACATACAGGAGAATTCGTTACGGATCCAAGTGGGAGTGAGCATTGAGAAATGGAATGCTTGAGACAATGTTTCAATGGTAACAATAAACACTTTACTGCAAAACATGCCTGTGTTTCATTCTGAACCGAGTAGGGGTAGGGAACAAGAGAAATAATCCCGTGTATGAGCCGGCTATAGACGGTGCTCCAGTCTCGGCCGGTAGAGAAACACAATCTAGTGATCGGGACCATGGGCATGCGTAGCGCTAGGCTCATCCCCGCAGATTCACGAGGGAGAATCAATCACGAGCCTCAGAGATCTTGGGCGGTTTTCGGTCAAGGCGTCGGTCAACTCTCTCGTTCGTTGCTCTGAGTGAGTAGCAATAAATGCGCGGAAAGTGCGGGTGATGTCATAACAGCCCAAACGGTTGAGCGAATCGCTCTTCGTGTGAGATTCTGTGTCCGAACATCGACTGGGGAGCTGACAGCACCTCGCTGTCTACGGGTACGCTCGAAGGTTCGCGCTCAGGGCCCGGCTCGCTGATTCAATGTAACGGTATTTTCCCTCAAGAAAATAATTCTCGATAGAGTGAAACGGCGCGACGGTTTGACTTCAGCCGGAGATGGAAGGCTCACCCGGACTCCAGCTCCAGCCCGGTTCTTGTTCACGACCCGAGGTATGCCTCAGATGACGAGCTTCGCTCGGACGTCAATCGTCTATATTCTGGGAGGAGTCCGTCGGGAAGGCGTGGGAATTTCGCGGACATCAACTGGCAAAGAGGTAAAGTTCGCGACTCATCTGAACGCGGGATTCATCTCGGAAACGGACTCAGGAATTGGCGGACGGTGTACGACAGCTCGGCCACGGCGTCAACTCGGCCACTACGACAGCTCGGCCACCATGCAGACTCGGCGCCGACGATCGAGCACCCTCATCGAGATACGGGAGGTCTAGGAAAAACGGCGGAGTTGACTCGAAGCTTCTTCCCCACTATTTCTTCGAAGTGTATTTTCGCGGATACCAATGTTCCATATGACATTCGTACTTCAACTTGACGCGATAGCAGGACGGGGATTCCGCTCGTACGATTGCCAAAATTGCTCGATCCGTTCAGACTTCTCCCCGTATCATCGATCCTACGGTGTTATATACCGGCGTACATAGTTTCGGATGCTCCCCCACCTTCATCCATGGGAGATGACCTGAATTCAAAGTGCAATTCCGATGTGGAACATTGGTCTCCGTTTCCGCGGAAGTTTACCCTGAATGCAAGGTGGCAAGGAAACCTCGAGACAACTTCGTGGGTATCTCGATGAGGGTGCTCCGAGGGAAAGACGCATTTCGTGTTCATCGAGGCTCCGAGGTCATTCATGGAATCACTCAGTCAAGGAAAGCCGAGCGATCGTCGGCGCCGAGTCTCCATGGTGGCCGAGTTGTCGAAGTGGCCGAGTTGACTTCGTGGCCGAGCTGTCGTAGTGGCCGAGATGTCGCGCTCCGACCGGAGCAAGTCATTGTGCCGAGTTCAGGCGGCGCGGGGCCCATATCATCTGCGCCGCAACCGAAGCGGCTTTCCAGGGATTCTCCTCCGAACTCGAGGACATTCGATGACGGATACCGAGTGAAACGGACCATCCTGAACTTGGTCCGTTCCCCGGGGTTCAATTATTGTTCCGAATTTCGAATTGTCGCCAATAGATAGAAACAACGTCAGAGCTTGACCCTTCCCTCGATGAGAGGCTTGCTAGTGGCTCATTGGTATCAGATCTCGGTAGTATTTCAGAAGCTCAGAAGGCTTCCTACGACCCCGGCTTGAGAAAGTTCGACGGAGCACGCCATTCGAAACGAGCGCTTCCTCACGAAGCGATGAGGGCTGATGCAGCTTTCTGCGACCGCCAGCGGGAAATTCCGCTCCCCTCATGTATTTGTCAGGAGGCGGTAGACAAAATCCTTGCGCACCGAAGTGCTCCTCCCGGGAGAAGGGGAACAGGAACATTTCCCTCTAGAACAGCCTGCCGCTCAGGAATGGGGAATCACGCATCAATTAACCCCGCGAGGAGCGAAGAAAAATCCTCCTTATCGCTCATGATCCACGGTGCATTCCGAAGGCCTTCGTGCGTAACAAAAAACACTTGAGTTCCGCAGAATGTTTAAAGAATATATAAATATACATGTGTATATGTATACAGGCATATACATATATTTGAACAACTTCCCGTCTCGCCGTGGCCATGAGCCAGCAAGCAGCCTACGACAGGCCTGCTCTCCTTAATCTCTACACGTGAGGTCGCCATAGGAGACCTCGCCGACATAAATGATGGGTCTCGATGAGACTTGCTGAGGGCGAGGACAGCGACTCCACGGGACCCAATGTCTCATTCGTTGGATCATTAAGTGCTTTCGATGGTGGATGATGTCGACAGACCTATAAGGTTTCGTGCCGCGTCGCCTCCCCACTCTCACCCCTCGAAATCTTTTGTCGGAATTCTTCGGTAATCTCCGTAATGAGTCGGCCGGTCGACAGACTGGTAGGCTGGCTGGCTGTCTAGCCGGCGAGCTGGCGGGAACACGTCAGCCACGCCTAGCTTACGCACTCTCCTTAAGGAAGGCGTAAGCCCAAAGTCTTTGAAAGGCTCGGTTCAAGTTTGGGATCCGAGGAGCCCCAATCTCCTATTTGGCTCTAAAGAAAACATCCACAGCCATGAGAGCTCTGACGATGACGAGGAGCCGCCGCGTTTCCTCACGAAGAGCAAGAGAATAATTGTATCGGAACGACCGTGAAAATTGAGAGATGACTCTGAGCATTGATTCGTTGCAATAGAATCTTTGGAGCTGTCCTGATATCAGCAGGGTTATTCCCTTTCTCTCTGAGCTTTCGATTGCCTCTACATCATTCGAAAAATTCTGAGGAGTGAAACCGTGGGAAATTTTGGCGTTCACCTCAAGCTCAAAACCTCATCGCAATGAATCAGCAATCGAAGGATTCCATCTCCGACCGGGAGATGGCGAGGAAATATTGCGGAAAGCTCAGCGAGCCGCGCAACGGTCCTCAGCCAGTCGAACCCAACTCTCGTCGAAAAGAATTATCGCACCTCTGAGATTTGG